GCCCCGACCCAAATGCCAGTTGAATTACATAATGCCGACGGAACGCAAGAAGCGTAACCCGTGAAAGAGCAGCGCCCGGACCAACCGCGGTGCGCACACAACATAGACCAGTGCTCCCCCACAAGAAAGAACAGCAGAAAGCCGTGCCGGGAAGCTCCCTGCCGCCAGGGAGCGATAACGCGTGAGAACCAGGCCAACGGTCAATCGGGCCCTAGCCCGACCCATGTCCGACAGTTCATCAAAGTTACTAGCCCGAGTCCGAGCCCGAGTCCGTTTTTTATTTTATTTTATTTTTTTCATTACACAGCAACAGCCTGCCCTATTGGCAGCCATTAAAATATGTCAGTTTTGTTAGTTATGTTTCATTTCTTTATTAAGTCAATTTAGACAAATGTATGGAACCTTTATTTTTTACATGACGACCAAGCAGCCGAGCCGACAGCGAGTAAAACATGTTTGATCAATTTAGCCTCTCAAATCAACGCTAATACTTTACTTAGCTACAAAACACTTCATGTCTGTTCACACAGACAGTTAGTTTAATAAATGTTTATTTATTAAACCACAGTGAGTAAAACAACATTTTTGAAATACTACAGTGAGGCAGGCAGGCTGCTCTCAACAGCGCTCCCAAACGAAATGAGCAATAGCCTACAATCTAAATAAATTAAAAACAAACTTGCAGGTTATCTTGCCTTATAGTGCACCAAAGAACATGGCCATTCTTTTTTCCAGTAGTTTCCAACAGTTAAACGAAAATAAAGTCCAATCAAACGAAAAGTTAGAACAGTCTCTTACAGAGCATCGTGGAGAAAAAGAACATCATCCACAGTGGAAGGTTTTAAGCCCGTCCTTCTCTCTTCTATCAGTCTTCCCGCTGGGCTTAAGACACGTTCGCTGCTGCTGCTGCTGACGGGGACACTAAACACAGAGCGAGCCAGTCTTGGCAGTTGCGGTAGCAGCGTCTCGTGCTGTTTCCACCAGAGCAGCACATCTCACCGAGAAACCTTCTGTGTGCCTGCGTGAGACTGTCATGTCAGTCATATGTCAGTGTAACTATAAGAGAGGTTAAAAACAGGTTATGAAATGTCTTTCTATATTTGTTTTCTATCGTGGACGTCAACTTCCCATATTTTCTTTTAATTAATGTCTAAAAATATAAAAAGGATAACCCAAAAAAGGCCCGAGGCCCGGCCCGCATGTGAACTATGACGTGAAAAGTGGCCCAAAGCCCGGCTCCAGGGGCGTGAATAAGTCGGGGCCCTTCGTGCTCGGGCTGAAATGCAGGGCTCTAGCGGGAGCCCCACCCCTGCCGAAGAGGGCCCAGGCGAGGAGAGGAGACAACGGGCCCCCAGGCCCAGGGACACACCACCCGCCCAGAAATGAGCAAAAGCCACAAGCCCGAGTCCCCAGATCCCTAGGTCAAGAGCGGGCCCCCACGCCAGGGGAGCCCCGACCCCCCCACCCCCCCCACCCCAGATCAGGCAAGGCCGTCACCAACCCCACAGCACCCCCGACGCCCGGGGCTCCAGGGGCAGGACACGAGGCCAATGAGAATCTCCCCCACTCCTTCAACCCCTCTGCCTGCCTCTGTAAATGTATTGTTTTGTGTTGGATGCATGTCATAGATTGTGAAGTGTTGTATGGTGGAGTAAAGATAAGGTTGTGTGGTAACTAAGGTGCAGTTAAAATTGGAGGGTAGTTGTGACACAGACACACCACAACTGTCAGGTAGTGGAGCCTCCCATCATGCCCCTCCCACCCCCCAAGTCCTCGGTGTCTAATGTGTAATTAAAATTGAGGGGCGGCCAGTGGGGGAGGAAGAAGGGCGAGGCCACAATAAAGCAGCCCCACCCACCAAACGCCCTGCAGCCCGCCCGCCTCCCTGAGCTGTAAGGGTGTATGTTGTGAGACATGACCAAAGGGGGGGAAAGTTGAAGGAGGTCATAGGGAGGCTAGAATGGTCCTCCTCACTGGGACCAGATTCCTGACTGGCCCCATCATTCATTCAGTCCTGTCCCCCACCCCCCTAAGCAGAAGGACGCCAGGTCCCTCCAGCCCTGGGCTTTATAGCAAGAGCCCCTCTAGTACCGGCAGCACCCCAGAGTCAGCGACAACCCCGCCCATCCCCAGGACGGGTCCAGGGGGGCCTAACCCCCCCGCCGCGCAGACCCGCCCCAGAGGCTCCAAAGCCCCAAGCCCCAGACCCCCAAACACCCCCGAGGCAGGTCAGTGCAGCCCCAAACCAAAGTCCAACAATCCCCCGTCCTCACCGGGGCCCCTCCGGCAGCCCCACTGCCACCCCCCCAACTTCACCACTCCCCCACAATCAGGAGCACTCCGAGCACCACCAGGCCATCGGAGCTGTATTATTGTATAAACAGAACAGTCCTTCATATTAAATAGCTCAGAAACTGCAGAGAATATAATTAAAACCCTTCAAGTGCCGTTAGCTCCAGCAGATCACAGATACGACATGTCTGTGTGTCTGCATAGAAGAACAAGAAACAGACACAGTATAGAAACAGAGTGCAGACACTGGATCAGTGGAAAAATAAAAAGACTGCTGTGATAAAATGACGACTGTCAAAACATTTTCAGCACAAACTCTTAATCCTCAAGTTTTCCTGCTGGATTTGTATCAAGCCTCCATCACCCAAAGAAAGATAGAAGATGATAGAAGATACTTGTGTCACTAACTTGATGGATAGAAACACAGAAATGATGTTTGGAGACATTTGGAGTTTAACACATGTAGAATTATTTCAATCAGCAGCTTTAAGACTAGTTTAGGAAACTTTTATAGTGTGGAGGTTTTATATTGAGTGAGTGTGTAAAGTGTGGATCTTTACTGTAATACTGATGCTTCAGCTTTACAGTGTTGATAATCACATCTGGACTTACTGAGCCTTTCTGCAGTTCCTCACAGCTGGAATCAGTCTCAGTCGTCCCTCCTCTGATGTGTTGTACTTCTGCAGGTCCAACTCATCCAGAACCTCCTCTGATATCTGCAGCATGTAGGCCAGAGCTGAGCAGTCGAACACAGAGAGTTTCTTCTCTGATCTGTTCTCTGACTTCAGGAACTCTTGGATCTCCTGATGTACTGAGTGGTCGTTCATCTCCGTCAGACAGTGAAAGATGTTGATGCTTCTGTCAGGAGAGATCTTATTACTGTTCATCTCCTTCAGGTTGTTGATGGCTCTCTGGATGATTTCTGGACTGTTGTCTGTCCGACCCAGCAGGCCTCCTAAGAGTCTCTGGTTGGACTCCAGAGAGAGGCCATGAAGGAAGCGAACAAACAGGTCCAGGTGGCCATTTTCACTGTGGAGGGATTTCTGCATGGCACTCCTCAGGAAGACATCCAGGGATGGGTACTTTTCAAAAAAAAATTCAACATTTTCTTAAGTAAAGACTTTGAGTCTTTCTGTTTCCAGTCTTCCCCCAGGAAGTCCTCCAGTCCCTCTGAGTTCCTGTTTGGTGTAACAGTGGAACATGTAGACTGCAGCCAGAAACTCCTGAACGCTCAGATGAACAAAGCAGTAGACTGTTTTCTGGAAGATCACACTCTCTCTTTTGAAGATCTCTGTACAAACTCCTGAGTACACCGAGGCCTCTGTGACATCAAGACCACACTGCTCCAGGTCTTCTTGGTAGAACATGATGTTTCCTTTCTCCAGCTGTTCAAACGCCAGCCTCCCCAGCTTCAGTAGAACCTTCCTGTCAGCCTTTGTCAGCTCCTGTGGACTCGTCTCATGTCCCTCATCGTACTTCTGCTTCTTCCTCTTTATCTGAACCAGCAGGAAGTGTGAGTACAGGTCAGTCAGGGTCTTGGGCAGCTCTCCTCTCTGCTCTGTAGTCAACATGTGCTCCAGAACTGTAGCAGTGATCCAGCAGAAGACTGGGATCTGACACATGATGTGGAGGCTACTGGAGGTCTTGATGTGTGAGATGATTCTGCTGGACAGCTCTTCATCACTGACTCTCCTCCTGAAGTACTCCTCCTTCTGGGCGTCAGTGAAGCCTCGTACTTCCGTTACCCTGCCGACACACGAAGGAGGGATCCGATTGGCCGCCGCAGGTCTGGAAGTTATCCAGACGAGAGCCGAGGGAAGCAGATTCCCCTCGATGAGGTTTGTCAGCAGCAGGTTGACTGATGACTTCTGTGTGACATCAGACACAACCTCACTGTTGTGGAAATCCAATGAAAGTCTGCTTTCATCCAGGCCGTCAAAGATGAACAACAGTTTCCAGACGGCGAGCTTCTCTGCTGGGACCTTCTGTAATGTTGGATGGAAAACATGGAGCAGCGTGAGGAGACTGTGCCGCTCATCTTTGATCAAGTTCAGCTCCCTGAACGAGAGCAGAACCAGCAGACCGACATCTTGGTTTTCCGAGCCCTCTGCCCAGTCCAGAGTGAACTTCTGCACCGAGAAGGTTTTTCCAACGCCAGCGACGCCGTTGGTCAGAACCACTCTGATGGCTCTCTGTTGGCCAGGTAAGGCTTTAAAGATGTCCTGGCACCTGATTGGAGTGTCATGGAGGGTCTCCATCTTGGAAGCTGTCTCAAGCTGCCTCACCTCATGCTGGGTATTAACCTCTTCACTCTGTCCCTCTGTGATGTAGAGCTCAGTGTAGATCCTGTTGAGGAGGGTTCCACTTCCTGTTTCATCACTTCCTTCAGTCACACGTTCACATCTCCTCCTCAGACTGATCTTATGTTCATCTAAAACCTCCTGCAGACCACCGCTCACTAAAGAAGAGAAACAATGTGAGATAAAACAAAGAATCTGTGCTGATTATTTTCATTACTAATATAAAAACCATCAACATCAGAATATCTGAAGAAGCAGACAGATGTCCAGTCTTACTTTGTACAGAGCTGCTCTGACTGGCTGTCTGCAGTCCAGCTCTGGTTCTGGATCTGTCTCCACACTGGGGACAGGAGGAGTGTCCCGATGAAGCAGACTGGTCCCAGTATGAGGTGATGCACCGTCTGCAGAACCAGTGTCCACAGCTGGACGGCTGCTCCTCCACAGGAACAGGACTCCTCTTCCTCTCTCTGTGAAGACATTTCTTTAGAACTAAAATGATTTGTTGCTTGTTGTTGAAAAATCTCCAGATGTGTCCGACACTGTGTAGAAGCTCAGATGGTCACAGAGTAAAAGTGTCGTTACTTTTCTGTTTGAATTCAGCTTTCAGTCAGTAATGAAGATGATTGTTCCTTTTATTTCAGCTCTCCTGCTCTCAGAAACACTAATTAACTGCTTTTCCTGTCTGACTGTCTGATTAAACATTTAGTGATCTGCCTGCAGTTTGTTATTAACACAAACTCAACACTTCCTGCAGCTCCTTCACAGTAAAAGCCTCCATTAAAGAGAGCTGATTATGTCCTTCACTGTTTTACAGTCACTCTGGGCAGCTTAGCTTGAGTTAGTTAGCTTTGAACTGAGCTTAGAAGTGGTCTAAACACACAGCATGTAACAGCGGTGTCACAGGTTCAAGTCCACACGGAGCCTTGTTTGGATGTCGTTCTGTTTCCTGTCACTCTCTACTGTCAACTATCACATGGAAACTATTCAAATATTGTAAAAAGAGAAGTGGTCCAATTTTCTGCCCTTTTTCCATCCACTGCTAACTTTTCCATCAGTGCTGCCCGTGGATGTTTGTTCTTCACCTTTAGGAACAATATATGGTGGAGAGAATCTGAGCTCAAAGCTCCACTTACTAATGATTCAAAGCAAAGTGTTCATCAAGGTGAGCAAAGCTGAACTACAAATGCTTTTTCACCACATGTTGCACAATTATGATCTGAAGTGATTCAAGATGCATCTGGTGGATCAGAACAGCTGATCTGAGGAAGAGCCAAACAGCTCAGTGTTTAGAGGACAAATAGGAGAAAATGAAGGACACATTTGAAGCAGATTCTTTCAGATTCTGAATCCTTCTAAATCTTTACAGTGACGTCAACGTGAGGGCAAAAATATATGAAGATGTTCTTGAAGTGTAAATTCTGAAATGGAGGTTCTCAGGTGTTTTGCTCCAGAAATCAAATCAGATCCATCTTAGTTTGAAACAGTATCTGCACTAATAGTTCTGCATCAGGAATATAAATCTGTTAGCAGAACATTTTGTCTTCATCCTCAATGCATCATCTTCCATCAGGTCAGTTTACAGTAAAAACAGTCTCTTACTTTGTGTCTGAGGGTCCAGGTTCAGGACTGAACTCTGGAGGTTTTCCTTTGGACCAGTCACTCTTCATAGACAGACAGCTGGATCCTGCAGACTCTGCTCCGTCCTCCTCTTCCTCCACACAAACACTCATCTTCTGGACTTCAGTCAGTCTGAGAGGTAAAACAGTGACACTGACTGTGAGACCAGTTCTCTGCACAAGTAAAACATATTTTCACTTTGCAATCGGGGATCAACTTTTAAAAGTTGCAGGTTCCGTGTCGGTATAGCAGCTGCCTAAAAGAACCTGGTTCTGGAACTGATGCTTGACTTCAGGAGGAAAAGAGAGGAAAATGCTCATCTATACATCAAGGGAGAGAGTTGAGAGTCAGCAGCTTCCGATTTGTTGGACCTCACATGGACACTTGGGAAACAGGCAGCTCTACTTTTGAAGGGCACTGAGGAAGGTGAACCTGTCCCAGCAGCTCCTCATGGATCTTCTCTCATGACATCCTGCTGTGGTTCACAAGCTGCACTGAGGCTGACAGAAAGGCCCTACAGAGAGTTACTAAACCAGCTCAGAACATCACCAACACACAGCTGCTCTCTCTCACTGACCAACACGTTCTTCCTCCCGACTCGTCACATATTGACGCCTGGTCGAGGCCCTTTGTCGTCGCTTTTTAACGCCCTGGGCGGCCCTTTTGCTTCAATTATTGAGATTTATCAAGTTAGCAACGCTTAGCAACAACAAACATACAACTTCTGGTAAAGTTAATAATAAATATGCAACGTCCGGTATAAACTTTCAAAATAAACATCGCCATTTCGTGAAACGTTGCAGTTTGGTTGGGTTTAGGCACAGAAACTTCTTGGTTAAGGTTAGGAAAAGATCATGGTTTGGGTTTAAATAACTACGTATGTCAGTTAACACATAAGGTAAAAATATTTAATGCTGACTTTTTGTTTCACATGGGACACAAACCCCGTTCTCCTGGTTCAAAGTCGAGGTTCTGGCCCTCCAACCACCTCCTTCCTCGGTCTTTTCGGTTAAATATCATACCTGCCTTTACCGTCAAAAACTGACGACTATGGCTCTTGACCATGCGTCCATATGGGACGACTCAGTGACCCTGATGTCTCCATCGGGCCACAGACATAATCCGGGACCCAACCCACCCAGATAACCACCTGTACTCTGCTGCCCTCAGGGCCCCGTTTCAGAAAGAGGGATTAGTGAAACGTCAGAGTAAATCTCTCTGACTGCGAGCTCAGAGCACAAGAATCAGAAAACAAGTCTGTCCAAGAGTCACAAGAGAACAGGAAGTAACACACAAGTTCCCTCTAAGGTTTCTTTCCTCTCCAGCCCACAGGGAGAAAACTGCCTCAGAGACTTTGACAGTAACATAATAAAATGTTGGATTAACACTCACCCTGCCTCAGCCTTCAGTTCTGGGACTCTAACTGAACTCTTTCTGCTTCAGCTTCCTCCCTGTTCTCAGTGCTGCTCCTCCCCTCTGCATTTACAGGAAGTCAGCTGAGTGTTTGGTGAAAAGAGAGCTGTTTACCATGATGTGTAGCTGCTGAAAGTAAAATCTCAGTCTACAACCTGTATGAGAGGAAATCTTTAAACAGCCTCTCTGTGATGTTCATGAATTACTGACAGAATGTTCTGTTAAATTCTTCCCACATGGCTCATGAACAGTTCAGCGTAACTTCTCAGCCATCCATCTCTGAATGTGTGAACATGATGCAGCTGATTCAGTTCAGGACACAAGGTTTATCTTAAAGGGAGTTGATCCTGATGTAATGGGGTTATTTAAACCATGGCTCCTAATCTGATGTCAGTAATAAAAGCTGTAGGATCGTAGATTATTAATGTGTGAATGTTGTAAACAGAGCTACATTATAAGACCTACACCTGTGGGGCTAAATTTAGGTTTTCTATTAAGTGAACCACTTTTTTATTAACCGTGTATTAAGGGATCGTAACCACACATTAAAACCATCTATTTGCCAGGTTTCTCAGTTTTTGGTGGGGTGTCCAGACTTTTTTAACTAAGGTGGCAGAGGTGGGGCTCTGACTTTGGGGGGGCAGGAAGCAGCCTACATAGGCACTCTCACACACATCGTAATAGCATTCCTTTAACATTCCTGTGTCCACTGCTAAAATCTACTTTAATTAGAAGCATTACAGCCTCAATGCAAGAAGGTCAAAGCAGCCTTCACATCACAGTCAGAGTAACATGATGTCAGCAGCTGAAGTGAAAGCACCTTTAAAACAGCAGCAAAATCAATGCACTGCCCAGAAACAACTAACAGGAGACAGCATGAAAAACTGAAAAACAGGGTGAAAGACTAGAAAAATAGCCTACTGGACTGCAGGTCAGGGCAGCTGCCTCAGAGCTGTTTGCCTTGTAGTGTTTGTTGTTTAGCCTTGATAGACACTGTTGTACGTGGTCCTGTTAGAACTGTGCAAAGGTGAGGAAGTGGGCCAGGTATCGAGTCCTAAAACTGATACCGCTGTAGCACACAGTAGTTTGGTTTCTGTTTAGTTCCACTAGGTTCAGGGGTGCTGTGCGCTTTGTGTGTTGGATTTTAGTTAGAGAGCTTTTTGTTTAGTTGTAGTTAGATTAGTAACCCTCCTTTATTGATTTCAGCAGCACCCATCGGCCCATTTTCTGTTGTGAGCTCTGTTTGCCTTTTTTAAAATAAATATCCTTTCAAATACCAATAACATCTGGTTTATGTTAATAGCCCGCTGCCCGTAGACACTTCGGGATGTAACACTGATGAACACAGACCAGATTATGACATAAAAGACAAACTCTCTCATTTCATGTGGATGTGACTGATGGACCAACCACAGATGACCTTCCTCAGGGAAAAGTGAAGAAGGGAACACACCTGTATTTAACAGGCAGGAAATTAGAAATCTTCAGAAAGTTAATATCAAGGACAACAATTATATCTATATATATTTAAACAATCTTTACTTATTGGAGTACTAACAGACTATAATATGAATGCAACATTTTGTAATCACACAGCGGGAATGTTGTCCTGGTGTAAATGTGGCAGCTTCATCAGGAGATGAGGACTAATTTCATCACAAATAAATGTTCACTGGGTGTTTGATAAAACAAAACATTATTTAGTTTTACAGATGATAAAATTACCAGATGCCTTCACTGAGCCGTCCCACAGCAGGTTTATCTTATGAGTCTCACAGGTCACCTTTCTGTTTTGCTGATATTAGTTTAAGTTCAGTTTATTAGATGTGTTTATTCATAGTATTTGCTTTTTCTGATTTAACAAGTACAAAATTGCCCATTGTAATTAATTCCCATATTATCTTTCAGTGTTCACAAACAGGTGGGAAATCCTCCTCCACTAATCAGATGTTTAAGTGAAAGTCTTGTTTACTGAATTTCATGTCACTATTTCAGTAGAAGTTTATTATGAATGAGTAATTATTCAAATTAGATGTGTTTTTTAAATGTTATTCACAGCTGCAGCTAATAAATATCTTCATTACTGATTAAGCTGACAGGTCTTCTCTCTATTGATGATCGTTTGGTTTATAAAATGGCAGAAACAACAAACATAAGAAACTCAGATATTTTCAGTTTGCAACAGAGAGAAGCCAGTTATTGATTATTGATGGATCTGATCAGTCGACTCTAAATGAGTCTCAACTAACTTCCTGCAAACTTCTCTGTTATTGTTTAGTTGCTCCCTTTTTCTTCACCTGCTCAGGTTTATGACCAACTCTCTTCCTTTGTTCAGTCTAACTTCATCTGGCTGAATAGTTCTGCAATAAATACGACTTTTAATGAGCTTCTCAAATGTCTTTAGATTTTATAATATAGCAGGTTGAATTATTAATTGGTCGTTAAATAAAACTAATTTTCTTGAATCTTTTAAATTTCTACAGAAAACATTTGAGCTTTTCAACTGTAGGTCAGCTTTTAAATGTTAAAGGTTTGATGTAGCAGTTATCTGAAGGAAAAACTGTCTGTGAGCTCAGAACCAGGAAACAAGTTTGTTCAAGAGTCGCACGACAACAGGAAGTCACACACACCTTTGGACATCTCCCTGACAAACTGCCTTACCTAATCCTCTGACATTAAACTGACTGTAATCTGAACGCTAAAACAAGTCTTAACCTTCAAAAACTCTCTCTGTCCACATGGACACGAGTCCTCATTGTCTCAGGATAAAGTCCCCATCAAGACGTAAAAACACACACAGTGCTGAGTTCCTCTAAGGTTTCTTTCCTCTCCAGTCCACAGGGAGAAAACTGCCTCAGAGACTTTGACAGTAACATAATAAAATGTTGGACTAACACTCACCCTGCCTCAGCCTTCAGTTCTGGGACTCTAACTGAACTCTTTCTGCTTCCTTTCTGTTCTCAGAGCCGCACGGAGGTCGGAGCTGAGAATCACGTCACATCGCAGTAAGAAGTCGGAAAACGTCCCTGACGCAGCTGTTGTTGTTTACAAGCAGCCAGGTTAGCTGCTGTCACGCCGGTTGATAAAAACAACGCATTGTGCGGTATTTACTCACACTAAACACGGTAGCAACACAGACAGCTGGACAGCACTTTGTGTACGAACATTTCTATGAGTCACAAGAACACAGAAGTGCTGATAAACAGTACGAACTAACTGTTGATACCCCGACAGCCTTCTTGGATCACGAAGTCGGGGCAGTGCGGTTCTCCCGACTTCCCAAGTCGGAAATCCGACGTAAGGGAGCGTTTCATTTAAAAGTTTCCACTGTGAACCCGGAAATTGCCACTTCCCAGACAACATGGAACGCACCATCAGTGTAGCTCCTCCCCTCTGCATTTACTGGAAACCAGCTGGGTTCCTCTGTGTGTTTGTGTTTGACAGGTTTTTATATCCTGGCTTGACTTGACTTGAATCTGAATGTTACCATGGGGACAAAAATTAAAGGTTTAGACTTAGTTTTAGGTTTCAGAGTGTGATTAGGTTCAGGTAGATGTGATGGTTCAGGGAATGTGTTATATGAATAAGATGTCCCCACAGGGGTAGAGGAACAAGCATATGTGTGTGTGTGTGTGTGTGCTAACAGCTAACAGCTAACAGCTAATCTTTATTTGTAGAGAACTTTTCAAAAACAAGTTACAAAGTGCTTTACAATAAGACAATAATACCCAAGAGACAATAATACAAAAAACAATACAAGATAAAAGCATGAAAACATTGAAAAGACTAAAATACACGTTTAAGATTAATATAAAATTAGTAAAATAAAATAAAAGGGATAAAGTCAAATAAGATCGGGAAAAGCTCTCCTATAAAAGTATGTTTTAAGAAGGGACTTAAAAGAGTTCACTGACTCAGCCGACCTGATTTCCTCGGGCAGGCTGTTCCAGAGCCTCGGGGCCCTGACAGCAAACGCTCTGTCCCCTATAGTTTTCAGTCGAGACTCTGGAACAGACAACAGACCTCTGCCCGAGGATCTCAAGGTACGTGCTGGTGCGTATGGGACTAAAAGGTCAGAAATATAACAAGGCGAGAGGCCATGAAGAGCTTTAAAAGTGATCAATAGAATTTTAAAGTCAATTCTAAAACATACTGGGAGCCAGTGTAATGAAGCTAAAATAGGAGTAATGTGGTCATATTTCTTTGTTCTGGTTAAAAGCCTGGCAGCTGAGTTCTGGACAGTCTGGAGTCGATCAGTAGATTTTTGGGTTAAACAGGTGAAAAGGCTGTTGCAATAATCCAGGCGTGATGAGATGAAGGCGTGTAAAATGGTCTCGGAGTCCTTAAAAGTTAACATAGATCGAATTTTTGCTATATTTCTAAGTTGATAAAAAACACGATTGAACAAGCTTTGTGGTGTGCTGCTCGAAATTTAAATTACTATCAAACCAGACACCAAGGTTCTTTGCCACAGGCTTAATATGATTTACTAGGGAACCAGCAGATGGCCGTATTTGATTTGCCATCTGCTGGGACCCGATGACCAGGATTTCTGTTTTGTCTGAGTTCAGCTGGAGGAAATTATTTGACATCCATTTTTTAACTTCACAAAGGCAGTTGTTAAGTGAACTCAGCATTCCAGGGTCTCGGGATCTGACGGGCAAATATATTTGTGTGTCATCAGCATAAATATGAAAAGAAATGCCATGTTTATGGATAATATGTCCAAGGGGAAGCAGATACAAGGAAAACAAAATGGGTCCTAAGACCGACCCCTGAGGCACACCATATTTAACTGGACAGAACGAGGAGACATAGTTGTTTACAGACACGCAAAACTGCCTATTTGACAGGTAGGATGAAAACCATTCTAGGGCAGTACCAGAGATCCCCACCCAGTGCCTCAGTCTGTCTAACATGATGTTGTGATCAATGGTGTCAAAAGTAATATTTAGTGACGACAAGCAGATATGATTGAAGTGATCGACCAGATTGTTGGTGTTGGAATCAAACAGGTGTTGGCTTTGGCTCTGAAAGAATGCGCAAAACTTTGAAACACTTTGTTCATTAAAGATGCGAGAACACACGGAGCTTGGTGAGGCGGCATGAGTAACAGGAGAATCGCAGCTAAAAACAATACATGCGGAAATGCTGACACCCAGGGTAAAAACCAAGTCCAGTGTATGAGCACAGTTATGTGTTTGCCCTTTGACATGTTGTTTGAAGTTAAAAGAAATGGCCATGTTTAAAAAGTCAGTTGCATTAACATTGTTGGGTTCATCAACATGAATATTAAAATCGCCACAAAGAACAATTCTGTCATAATTTAAAACCAGAGTAGATAAAAATTCAGGAAGTTCTGATAAAAATCCTCCAGGCGGTTTTGGGGGCGATAAATTATAACAAATATAATGCAGCCCTCCAACTTTAAGAGTGAGAACTTCAAAGGAGTTAAATTCATCACAGCGTACTTGATGACATTTTAAATATTTCCTATACACGCTCACTAGCCCACCACCACGACCACTGACCCTCGGTTGACTAAAACAATCATATTGAGGCGGACACAGTTCAGCTAGCTGGCTATAGTCATTCATTTGCAACCAGGATTCAGTTAAAAACATAAAATCTAGATTTGCAGCTAACAGCTAAGTGACGGCGAGATGAAGCTTTCCATCCAGTTGGTTCACTCATGGGCTGAAGCTTCACTGTGCTTCATTTGCTCTAGTGTGCCATCCAGTGGACAGTAAATGTAAAACAGGCAGAGTGATTATAAGGCAACAAAGCTTTGGTGTGTGAAGCTTTGAATTGAATGAATTAATGAATGATGTTTGTGATGCCAATACATGACTGATTAGCTTTTTAATAAGGTGTCTGTCTTCATGGTACGATGACAGGGTCTTAAGGGAAAGTGGAAACAAGGGAGAGTAATATGATAACTTGGTTTGTGACTTTAGATAATAGAGACAACATTTTATTCTTCTTTATTTAAAAATAACCCTTCCACAGTGCTTCAGGCGGTTTCTTTTTTCTTTTTTGGAGATGATTTTACCTGCTTTAGAAAATTATTTTTAGGGTAAGAGTTTAATTCTTACCAAAGCCACAAAATGTAAAAGAAACACTTTCTTTTCCTCTGTTTCATCACAATTTTTGAAGTTATTTGATCAAAGCACTTCTGACATAAGTTGATAAACTTTTTTAGTCATTTAAAATGAGCTGTAGATAAAATCTAATTGTGTTCAAGTACAAAAGTCCACAAAATGTTACTCGACATGCTTCGAAGCCTCGATACGAACAAACACATCACTACTCACAGGGGTAGAGGAACAAGCATCTGTGTGTGTGTGTGTGTGCTAACAGCTAGCAGCTAACAGCTAACAGCTAGCAGCTAACAGCTAGCAGCTAGCAGCTAGCAGCTAACAGCTAGCAGCTAACACCTAACAGCTAGCAGCTAGCTGCTAGCAGCTAGCAGCTAGCAGCTAACACCTAGCAGCTAGCAGCTAGCAGCTAGCAGCTAACACCTAACAGCTAGCAGCTAACAGCTAGCAGCTAGCAGCTAACAGCTAGCAGCTAGCAGCTAACACCTAACAGCTAGCAGCTAACAGCTAGCAGCTAACAGCTAGCAGCTAACTAACCCTTTTAGTAAGAGCGGTTCGCTCACAGCTAACAAAGCTAACATCCAACAAATCAGATGTTAGCTGTGACAATAACAGCCAATAATTAATAATGTAACACTGACAGGTTTCATTCTGCAGCAGAATGAGGAGGCCGACTTTTCCTTTGGATCCTTCAGCTACATTTTACTGCTGATACTTCTGTTCTTTCATTAAGATTTGAATTTGAAATGAATTCTTTTTACATTGTTGTATTCAGATCTTTGATTTAAGTTAAAGATCTGATTATGTTTTATTATTTGGCTTCTAAACATCTTCATTATAAGACAAAGACGACAGCATCAGAGTCTCTTTGTTTATTTTACATGAAACAAATAAACAATAAACAGTAAACATGTTGTTGTGTGGAAAGAAAAGAGCCGACAGGAACATTAAGAGAGAAATCTAACTTTCTGATCTTGGTTCATGTCTTCCACATTGAGTAAGGAGCTGCCCAGCTGCCATCTTTGTTTTGATGAGGACAAAGAAGAAAAATGAGACTTGGAGCAAAAGTTATCAGAAGAGTTGTGAAAGTCCAGACTTCTTTCCTTCATCCGGACCTTTACTTTGAAAGTGTTGTTCCTCACCTGATAAAAGAAGTGTGAAAAGTGAGCGGACACGTTTTAAACTTTGTTAAATGTGTCACTGCGCTGACAGGACTCACATTTCTCACATTAACTGGCTCCAGAAACTTTAATTAGCTAAAGTCTAATTCAGGTTTGTTAAGCTAGCTGCTCACTGGAAAGTTTCAGGCTTCTTCCTCTTACAATCATTTAGCAATATATCAATATATCAATATATCAATATATCAATATATATATGTATATAAAGAGCTTTCTAACTGCTGATTAAAATGTGAACAGGCCAAATAATCCCAGCTCATAATCAGCATCATGTTTATCGGCCGGTTTCTCCACAAATCTCTCTAAATAAAGATGAAATAAGGGATCAATGATTGTGTGTGAGAAACATTAACAGCCAGTTATTTCCCAGGAATCCTTTCAGTCAATAACTTCCAATCACACTCATTGATAAGACACAGTGAGGCAACAAAGCTGTCGGAGGTTCAGAAGAAGCTGTTAATGGTGAATTATTGTGAGCAAACAGCAACAGGCTCAAAGAGTTTCACCATCTTTTGCTGCTTCACTCAGTAAAGTGGCATTGAACCTGATCAATACCATCTAAGCCAGTACTGATTGGACCAGGTTTGGCCCCACTTACCCGAGCCATTGAGAGTCCCAGTGTCAGGATATGTAGATGTGTTGTTCTCCACTGGTCATACTGGTAAACGTTACTGGTTCTTCCCTTTGTGTTGCTCAGCAGTTACCTTGTTTAGCTGCTACTCAAACATCAGAATTGATTCTCAACAATATTAATATTAATAATGATGTCAGCGCTTCCTGAAGCTGCACTGCTCCACTCTCTGTTGTTATGTTTGGATCATCCTGCTGTTCGCACTGATGCAGCACATTTACTCAAGTACTGCGCTCAAGTACGCTGTTGACGTACTTGTACTTCACTTCAGAGGGAAATGTACCGCAGTACAAGTACACGTAACTCTTCACTGCGCTACATTTATTTGACACTTACACTTACTTTTGACATAAAAACACACATGATGTGCTTCTATAATACGATGGAGTACTTTACTACTAATGTACCTCGTAGTACACAAAGTATCTGAAACGGCAGCATTAAAATACTCTTACATGTATTTGTTAGTGACGCAA